TTTAGCGACTTGAAACTTCCACTTTATTATACTAAAATTGAATGGGCTACAAAACTGCTTACCCCAACATTTTCTATATATTCTAATTAAAAATTTTGAAATTTTGATGACGATTTTTTTAAGTTTGATTAATTTTTTTGCAATTTGTGCAAGCTTTGCAACATTTGTTATTGCGGTTTCTGTTATAGATTGAATTATATTTTAAATGAAAATTATTAAAAATAAATAAATAAACATAATTTGGAAGCAATATCGTTTTGAATTTCGTTGCTAATTAGTTGCACGCATACATACATATATGTTAGTCCTAATAATTTAAATTCACAAACTATATATATGTATATATATACGTGTATTTTGTCTATAACTATTCTGCCTCAGCAGGTGATACAAGTTATTTCACCATAATTAAAAAGAAATAAAAAAACACTAGTTTACACGAAAAAAGTACTTTGCTAAAAAACTTATTTTTCCAAAGAAATGTTTTCGAGGTAGGTACATATGTACATATCCTCACCTGAAATGCAAAATAACATAACAACATAGCCCCTGAAATGGAAAAAGTCGTAATTTTTTTCATAAAACGATGTGGGCAGTTGTAATTCGATGAAATCCATCGTAGCAATCAAAAAGTTAATTTTTGATTTTTTATAAGTTAAGACTTTTTGCATTTCAGTGACGATGTTGTTACGTTATTTATTTTTAACTATTTTACCACGAAAACGGTTCTTTGAAAAAATAAATGCAACTCATTTTCGTGTTCAGCGACCCAAAACTAGTCCAAAACCCAGTTTGTAACGAGATACCACTTTTTAAGGGAATATTTGTATACTAGTGTAATAAATATTAGATATTTTATTTAATGCCTCACGACATCATCAATTCATGCACGTATGTAGATGATTAAATCATGATAAAATTATTTGCACATATCGCATCCTAAATCAAAAACAGTCACAACTCAAAAAATAAAAAATGTTCAAGAAAGACTGCTGAACTGCGCAAGCGACCTAAGCAAAACGAAAACAATCTTAATAGTATGGGATTGTTCGAGATGCAATCACAACCGCACTGTTGCGCGAAATATTAAAGTATCACGTTAAGGAATATAGTGATAAAGGAGAAATTTCGGCGGACGTTAGTAATATCGTCTATTTTTAGAAAGTAATCAATTTTGAAAAATTTTGAGTTATGACTGTTTTTGAATTAGGGTGCGATATGTATGTATGTGGGCTATTGTAGACAAGTGCAATTGATAACACTACCATATTGAAAATTATAGATGATATAGATTAATTAAACAATTGTTACAATATGCTGTGAGTTTATTTAACTTCGTACTATATATGTATGTACATACATATCAAACACAAATTACTAAAGTATATAATATCACACGTTCTTTAAAAGTGCATATACATACATACATACTTATCGGCACCTTAATATCGAAAGGCCCTATCTAACATTTTTTTTCTTTATGGAGTGATGAAATACTCCATAGAAAATCTAATTATTTTGCAACAAAATTCTTTTAAATACCGTTTTTTTGAAGAATTTAACTAATTTTATGTTGTAGTAGTTATTTTTAAAATCCAATAGGATTTCAGTGAGTTATCGGCAGACTTTTGTAGAGTGCTGAATTTGAACAGAAAATGAGTTAGGGCCCTTCTATATTAAGGTAACGATATGTACATGAACTATGTATATACATACACATCTGTTCAATTCAAGATATTCGGTAAAAAAGATATTTTCAAAAATTTCATGCATTGCTATATCATGTCATGTCAAACAAGGTGTTTTGCCATGTCATTCCATCTCAAACATACTATAGGTATCCACCAAATTGAGCAAGTAGTCTGGGCAGATTAGCTGATTGTTAAAGAAAGTTAAATAAAAATGTTAAATCCTTAATTAAAAGTTCCTTATATTTTACTCTAAATTCCAACTTGCGAAAAGCAAAGTTATTTTGTCTAAAGTCCACAGATATGAAACAATAGAGTGTAGCAACGACTGTGGCTTGGGCTAATTTGCTCCTTTTTCAGAGTGCAGGGCCACTTGTTCAATTCGTGAATACCACTAATACTTTGTTGTAATTTGTTACAAAAACTTTTCTACCCCGTACGATTAAAGAGCGTGTCAGACGTTGCAATATTTCCAACTTTTCCACGCAATTCGCTGTCAGATTGAGAAAGAGAAATTTTATTTCCATGTGTGAACAGCCAGAAATTCCTTTCTGTCACTTTTCGGAAATCAGTTTCAGAAATGAAAGTTGCAAGATGTGACTGCAACTCAAAGCGCGAAAATCGATTTCGGAAATGTATTTCAACTTGCTCGTGCTGCACTAGCAATCTGCAATTCGCCTTTCGCGAATAAAAAAAAACCTCTTTCGAAAGATAAAATGTTCTTCTTCTGTCTGGAAACCGCCTGGAAGCTACCTGGAAAGCACGATTGAGAGAATACAAAGGTTGCGCCGATCTCGGACCGCTATTCCTCTCTTAACGAATTTGACAGAATCGTTGTTTGCATGACGTCACACTGGTGCAACTTGTTTACGTTTTCCTTGCAACATTTTTTCTTCTTCTTCCATTCTTGCTCACGTTTTGGCATTTCTCTCTCGCAATTGCACCAGTGTGACGTCACACACAAGTTATTCTTAAAAATCCTCTCCGATCGGCGCAATCTTGTATTCTATCATTCTTGCCTGGAAAGTACTTGTCAAAATATATAAATATCCCGCCAAAATGTTAGGATGTTTAAGCTGATTAAAATAAAGTAAAAAATTTGCAAAATATGCATTGAATTAAATGAGTTCCTGCATTTATATGACATTTCAGTACTTTAAAGCCTTTTGGTCAATAACACTTAACTTTTTTGCTACTTATTTATATATATTGAGTGTAACCCTGTAGCAAATAAAACCAGGTGATCTCAACAGTGAGGCATTTATGCAAAACAGCTGATTCTTTTTTCACTAGATAGTATGCACAATGCAATTTACATGCAAGATGTGACTGTTCACGCAACTGCTTTCTGAAATTTCTCAATTTGACAGTTTTTTCGAAACATATTGCCTTGCCACGTCTGACAGGCGCTTTAATATGAGCTCAAAAAGTTTTTTTGCGCGTTTTATGACAAACGTGGAATTTCGAGTTAATTCACTTTTGAAAAACGTATACAATATGCAAATACTTATGAATGTAGATATGTACTTGCCTTTTATACGTTGAAACTCGTTTTCAATTGCTTCTTTTTCAGCTGGTGTAAACTCATCCTGAAACTCGAGCATTCTAAAACTATACTGGCAAATCTATTAAAGATTATTAACGTTGTCTTATTTTCTAATACAAAATTTCTTGTTTTTGCGACCCGTACTATTGACAATCAGCACTAAAGTAAATTTGCTGCTCACTTGAAGTTACATTTGAGCAGTGTGACCAGGTTTCCCTTTTTGAGGCTAGATTTACCCTGGGCTTACTGAAGCAGTCACTAGTCACTAAAAATGACTTTTCGTGGTGAACAAGACCAAAGAACGTAAATCTATAGATCTATATCTATAGATTTACGTTCTTTGATCTATATCTATAGATTTACGTTCTTTGACAAGACGAATTTATAAAAGTGCTGTTATAAAATCAGCTGATTTTTTCGCCTTACATGTATTTTGTTTTTGCTTTTACTGATTTGACATAGCACCCGTCAAAAACAAAAGCAAAATACCTGTAAACTTTGGGGCGAATTCAGATTTGAGATATCACAACAAGGTGTATTTAACAAGGTGGTGTTGGCCGTATATAAGTAACAAATTACTCTAACAAATTATATGCAGATATCCATACTGTCATTAGTATGAGTTACAAGAAACACATATTTTGACGTAATGGCCTCCGCGGCGAAAAACTCAGCTGTCGCCTCAACACTACCAAGGCGAGTTTATACAAGGTGGTACCATGAACGAAAGACACAAGATCACGTAAGAACGCGACGTTGTATTTGTAACTGGTTTTGAGAAAAAAGTTTCCGAAAGCGGGTTCGTCAGCTGAGCGTTCGTTTACATCACAAGCACCACTATTTTACACTTTTATTCAAGTAAAGAAGAGTTAATTCAACATGACAACAAATTTCAAAGCATTTTGTTGCATCATTTTACCTAAATTGTGCGTTTAAAGTGGCTGACAATAATTTTGGCTAATTTTGGTTTTCGTTGTTTTCTTTGCTTTGTTTTCTTTTCGCTCGTTTTCCAGTGAAACAAGATGGCGTAGAACCCGCTAAAAAAATCGACTTTTTTCACTCTCTTGTTCTTACGTGATCTTGTGTCTTTCGTTCATGAGGTGGTACTGGCGAATTGAGATTTTCGCCGCGGTACTCAATGTCAAAATGATGTGATTGTTGTAAAATGAATTCGCCTTATTTACAACAAACACATCGTTTTGACATTAGGAAGTACCGCGGCGAAAATTAAAATTCGCCATCAACACCTCCAAGGCGAATTTATATATTAATTCGCCTTGAACACCACCTTGTATAAATTCGCCTTGGTTTTGACATTAGGAAGTACCGCAGCGAAAATCTAAATTCGCCATCAACACCACCTTGTATAAATTCGCCTTGGTTTTGACATTAGGAAGTACCGCAGCGAAAATCTAAATTCGCCATCAACACCACCTTGTATAAATTAGCATTGGCCAATTCAACGCAAAATTTCTTTGTTTGATAAAAAGTTCCATATAGTTACGAAAATTAATTAGAAATGGAAAAATGGATACGTGAGCGATTGAAAAATTGTCTGGACTTTGAAGTGCCAGATGATATGATCAAGTATGAACTTTAAAAAAACGGGTACCTACCATATCTGCAAAATTTCTAAATTCCCCTCCAAACTTTCCAGGTACATAATGTCTTTGAAGTCTTCGTCGGAATTTGACGAATATTTCGAAACTTTGCTCAATCCTGAATGCGAGGATCATCGCTCATTCTTAACTGACTGCAAGCAACGTTTGTTTAGTAAACCATTGCCCAATAAACGTTCGCCAAAGACAAATCCACAACAGCAAAAAACTGGATATGTAAAACAAAATCCCGTGCCATTAGATGGCAAGTTCGGCAAGCAAATTACCCAACCACCACAACAGCAGGGTGCTAAAAAAAAGTCCAAGTACGTTAATTTGTACACTAGTGACGGTAGTGTTAGTGGAGAAGTGATAATGCTGAAAGGTCGCCGTCTCTGCGATTGCCAAGCATCACAACACAAACTCATTAATAACTGTCTTAGTTGTGGACGCATTGTCTGCGAGCAGGAAGGTAGTGGACCGTGTCTCTTTTGTGGGGAGATTGTTTGCACCAACGAGGAAATGCAACTGATGAAAAGCGATCCAAAAAAAGGCCAAAACCTTTTGAAATCGTTGAAGGAAAAAGGGGGTGGTGAATCATTGAAAAAGGCACTAGAGCAGCGTGATCGTCTGTTGGAGTATGATCGTAATAGCGAGAAACGCACAACGGTTATTGATGATGAGCTAGACTATTTCGAGGTTAGTGCTGGAAAGGGTTTTTCAATCTTTGTCTAATGAGATGTGCATATATTATAACTCTCATCGATTTGCCAGGAAAATTCAGTTTGGCTCTCGGATGCAGAACGGGCCAAATTCGAACGTCTTAAGCAGGAAATGCATGAGAAGAAGCATGAAAGTCGAGCCAAACGAAAAATTAAGGTTGATTTTGCCGGTCGCGAAATGGAAGATGATCTTACAATTACCGCCGATTTTGAAAATCGAGTACTAAAGGAAATAGCTGAAGTAAAAGCTGCTTCTGGAGAGAAATATAATTGGTCGAATCGTAAAAACGCGGAAAAAATTACACCGAATACATGTGGCACAGACCCAAACATGGATGATGAACTTCGTCCTGTTTACAAACTCACTTCTGAAGGTAAGGCCCTAGCAGCCAACGGAGGCGCCAATCACGGATTTGCAGATCGCTCCTATAACCGTGTGCAAGATAAAGAGCTGTTAGAAATGCAAGACATGCGTCATTGCCTCTCAATGCATCAGCCATGGGCTTCATTCCTTGTGGAGGGCATAAAAAAGTACGTAAGGCATTTAATACAATACAATTCGATATAAATAAAACCTTTGTAGGCACGAAGGCCGTGTTTGGTACAGTGAGCACCGTGGTCGATTATGGATTGCCTCTACCGTTAAAGATCCACATCCTGAAGAAATTGAGGAACTCAAAAATTTCTACAAGAATCACTACAATGATTCTAACATAAAATTTCCGGAGCACTATCCAACAGGTTGTTTGTTAGGTTGCGTACGCGTAGACGATTGCCTTGCGCAAGAAGAGTACCGTGAAATATACCCTGACGGCGAATCAGATAGCCCATACGTATTTGTTTGCTCTAATCCTGAACAGCTGCCTGTGGTTTTCCCTATTAAGGGACAACATAAAATATGTAAGCTATTCTTCTATTAGTGTTCTCAAAAACAATAAATATACCTATCTACATAATAATTTCAGACCAAATTGATCCTAAGATACATAACGCTGCTTGCAAAACCTTATTACGCCTAAAAAGCACAAAAGGCTAAATATACATACATATATACGTATAAAATTTGGCCAAGATGGGTGCATCCTTAGATCGTAAAAATAATCAAAAAATACCCCATGCTTTAAAAACATATTTAGCGCTAAACATGTGTTTACGATGTATACTTTTTTAATAAAACTGGACAATAAATTTGATTTTTCTAAAGCAGCCATGACCAGCGCTGAGCATGCTTTTTCTAAAGCTTAACGAAAAAATTTTCATGTTAAAATCAGTTGGATTTTATTTATTATTAGTATCCAATGTTAGTTACATACATATATGTACATATATAAGTTTAAAATTGAATATTAGGATACACATTTATGCTTTAATTCACAATAAGTAAAATTTACTTAAAATACGTTAATGCTTTTTTATGAAATTGATGGCGTATAAGTGCAAATTTATCTTATCTCGTATGTTTTTAAAACATTGAGAAACTCCTTCATGTCAAGTTTTGTTAATTTCTGTAATTCTTCAGCCGCCTCATCTCCACTTATAATTTCCGTTTCAGGTGTATCTAGATTGCCCATGCATAATCCCAGCAAATCATCCCAATAGAAAAATGTATCGCATACCAACAGCTGGGTATTGCGTACCATAATCTTTAATGAAGCATTCCTGCGCAACATTTCACGGCGCAATACCAAAAGCTTTTCCTTTCTTTTTAGTGAGATTTGGGACATCTGCGACTCAATAAAAATACCAGTATTTTTTAAACAAGCGCTCTTCCTAAATATTGCATTTACATCGACTTCGTGCACAACTTCAACAAGCAGGATCTGCCTGTCGTGGTGTATCCTGTTTCTATTTCCTATAACAAAAACGCTTTCCAACTGCACATTTGGCATGTTGAAACGTTCCCTAAATAACTGTTCGACAGCTTGCTGTGGCTGTTGATTAGGTGCTACTGGTATATTGTTTATAATTAATTTACGCCTACGTACGACTTTCTCAAGTGTATGCAGTTCCCGTTGCAGAATTCGCTTGCTTTGTTCAGAGTGTTCTAGACGTTCTCGCATAAGTTGGAGTTCTCTTTGTATAGTTTTATATTTATCTTGATCTCCTCCTTCATCTTCATTGTCCTCTGTTACTGCAGTAGAACAAGGAGTACTTTGACGCGATCGTACTTGGTTGATAATATTTTTAGTCACCTCGCTGAGCTCCGACTTCGTGGCGAATGACTTGAGTTTCTCATCAAACATTCTGCTCATTGCTTGTAAAGTTTTACTTGATAAATTAACTTCTGCTTGAGCACTATCATGTACATAATTTTTATTGAGCTGGGAATCAACTGAATTTTCGGTGGTATCGATTAAATCTGTGTTGGAGTTTGGTTGCGAATTTTCGGTGGTTTCAGAGTTTTGTTCATTTTCAGTGGCGTCAGCTCCTGTAACATTGGTGCTTGATGGTGTGCTTTCTTGGAATGCACTTGCATTCATAAAGTTCTGTTCATCAGCCCCAGTCTGTGGCTTGCTTGCAAGTAAGTTCATATTCATTTGTCCAAATCCATGTTGTCTTAGAAGTTTGTACTGCTCATACATTTTGTGTACCTCTGGATGTGAACGTTTCATGTGCTTAATGAAATTCGACGATACATTTTTATGGCCACGTAGCATAACCTGACAGGAAACGCAACGTGCAACGAATATATCACCATTTTCGTTATTGCTTTCGGGCTAGAAATACAAATTTTAGAATAGGATTTTAATTGAAATGATAATAGTGAAAAATCTACCAGCTCGAAGAAAGGCGGGGAAAATAGTACAGCGCTTTCCCCACGACGACAACGCTTGGCTGGTTTGATGTCTTGCTGACCAATAGGAGCATTTTGCGTCTGAGAATAGAACGTCTGTTGCGATGGTGCTAAAAATCCAGAATTTTGCGCTTTTGATTGCTCACACCTATTGTCCGGATAATAAGGGCCAGTACCACCCTCCCATTGGTTCACTTCACCCAACTCGTTGAAATGTCGCTTTTGTCCCGGTGCTGTAGGCACTATGCTTGACTGTCCTATAAACATATCCTCACAATTTTCATATTTAATTGTGGGTTCCATTTCTAAGCGAGTAGCAAAAACTGAACTTATGTATGGCTACAAATACTTTAATTCGACGAGAATTTTATCTTATCGATTTTGTAAAACACTAGAAAACAATTATTTCGGTTTTAACAATGGCGTTTGCGGAGTTGCCAGATGCTTACATAACAGCTTATGAAGGAAAATTATAACAATAGTTGCGGTTTGTCAAACATGACAAAATTTCCCTTTAGCACAAACCTGTTTGAAGGT